CTTATCCTGTCTCATCCTCTTTTTGTTAGGCCTTTTATGAGTGGACTAATTCCAATCTTAGACATTGAAACTACTGTAATCCTACAAACCCTGAATTCATGGTGATGTTTTTCAATTCTGAGGCAGGCAAAAAAATTTGTTTTTCAATGTAGAGCCAAAGCCTGTACAAATATGAGAGCTTGACATCAAATGGTATTGGCCCATCCCAAACTTCACCTATGCCTTATTGAATCAATTAAATTTTAAATTATCTTTTTCATTAAAAAAAAAATTACAAACCAATTTCCCAAATATCACAAATTATTAGAATTGTGGTAAACCACTGAAATGTATTAAGATTTTCTAACTCTTAAAAGGAACTCATTAATCAAGCCAAAATAAGTGTTATGAAATTACTTTTTTGAAATTTCTTGCTTTACAAAACAAGCTGTTCATAAAATAATAACAACAGACTGTTCATGTCTTCCACCATTAAAGCAAATATCATTACAATCCCTCTGCAGCACATTCAAATGTACCATTAGAAAGAAACTCATTATTTCTTTATGAGTCAAGACATAAAAAACTAATGCCATAAAAACAGTCTCGTCCTGACAAAGAGGCTTGCAAATACTGTCACATACACCTGGCAGATGCAGGTGTTGGCTACAGTCCCCGCATACAGTCCCATCCACACAACTTGTTTGCCCATCACACTTTACTAAACATACTCCTCTTCCATTCTTTGATGATAATTTGTTCTCCAATCTCCATACAATTCTACAAACTAGATAGTACCCAACCTAGTACTATTGTCAGTCAAAATCATACAATATACTATAGTTGTGTTAATAGCATCCTTACATTTTAAAAAAACATGCCACTTAAGCCACAATAGGAATGCTAAAGAAAGCATGCTGGCCTTGTGTCCTAGATACGCTCCTTGGATGCCATCACTATTAATTAAGCCGATGCTAATGAGACAAAATTGTTTCCTTATTTGCATTATTCTCTGTAATGTTCTCTGAGAAAAGACCTATTATCATATTTGCCATTCTTAAAAGGATTTTTTTTTTTTATTAACACGCATCACTGTCATTTTCTTGTGTATTTTGATCTGAATTCATGTATAGCCTAGTCTGTTTTATCTTTTATACAAGTATATATACAAGTTTCATGAAAATCTTGAGGAGGAGGAGGAGGAGGAGGAGGGAAAAGAAGAGGAAGAGGAGGAGGCA